ATAGTGGGCATAGGCCAATCAACTGTCAGAGGTCTTCAGGTCATAAATAGGGTAAAAAACAGCAACCAAAAAGGAGGGCGGGGGGCAATTATAGTGGCAGATGCTAATTACCTGTCACTGAAGTCGGGGTCGTTGGGGGTCATAAACAGCAATTAGTGTAGCGCCTTGTCCCCATTGTAGAGGATCTTACTAGGCCTGCCTCAATGCGGGTTTAGTCCCATGCAAACTTGTGCCCACTTTCAAGCGAACGCATGGCGACTGCGGACAGGTGGTTGCGCCTGTTTACCGCTAACTGATGTTCGCGTATGCGTGAAGAGGCGGACCTTCCTGTTTGTCCGCAATAAATAGCATCGCTGTCGCCGCAAGGAATTTTATAAACGAACTCTTTCCTGTTGAAATAGCCAATCCTATCCTTAGGGACCAAAACTGCACAGTAGTTTCCTGCCCATATAAGAAAGGCCAAGCATTTTTGGAGGCCATTAACTCTGACGAACCATGCATCAACAGGCACATTTATTTGGATTCAATTTACAACGATCGCAAAAAAGCCTGGAAAAATCGCCAACCACCAAAACATGCTATTGACCATGGATGACGCAGCATTATCGACTTTTGGCACGTTTAAAAATGCGCACCATTCTTCACACATTTCCCTCACGTCCGAAGACAACCTGGTGTGCCAGCGTCGAAAATTTACAATAAAGTTCGTTTCTGTTTCCCACAGAATCTTTTCTATCAAGTAATAGGAAATGGCCAAGAGGATAATCAATAACGTAAGAAAGTTAAAACGCCATGGGCAGCAAAAGCGGAGAAAAACGTCTACGGCAAAAATAATTTGGGAAGGGAAATGTTTATGCATGTATGTGTGTATGAATTCAATTTTGTATTTTCTCTTACGTTATTCAAGTTATGCAACGAGAGGAAGCAACTGATGAGCACTCTCAAAATTAATAGATCCAATAAATTTTGCTGTTATATACTTTGCTTTTGTTGTTAATACAACTATCTATCATCAAGACAGCCTCAGTCGTTGATTTATGAAGTTAATCGAATGAACCATGATCAAATCATAGTCCTTTTACTGTGCAGTGGGCCGGAAAATTCCGCAAAAAAGTGAGGTCTAGACTATCTACAGTTCAGAGAGGGATATGTCCAAACAGTTCAACTATCACGACAACTGGAAAAACGAACGCCAGCGATGAGAAGCAGGAGAATAAAAAAGGCCCATGCATCTGTCTCTCTAGTGCCGATACAGACATCGATTCCTAAGATCATACAGCAAGAGGATTGCATAGAGCTGGTGATAACAGGCTTCTACCAAGCCATGGTTCTCTGTGTGATACAACCTTCTAAAGTGGGCAGCAGAAAGCTAAGTGGAGATTTAAATGGCCTCATCAGGTCACCGAAAAACAAGCAACAGTTACAGGGGACAGGAGTCAAT